GTGTGTCCCACCCTGCAGGGGAAGCCCTGGGGAGGCAGCTCCAGGCTGGGCTGACAGCGAGTCCTGAGCCAGGGACTGCAGGTAACGGGGGAGAGGGGGGGGAACACCCCAGGGTAGGGACGTATCCCCGCTCCGCAGCGGGTCCTGAGCTGCGTCAGGGCTGGAGCTTGCAGGATCAGGCCCTTGGGGATGTTCCCAGGAGGAGCGGCTCGTTTGGGGAGCGGCCGGTGGCTAAGTGGGATGGAGAGGGAGCCCCGGTCCCCGCACGCATCCAGGGCTCCCCGGGGATGGGGCGCACAGCCCAGCTCCCGGGACGCCTCCCACAATGTCCCATCGCCCTGGGAAGGCTGACTTCCAGTGCGAGGAGGACTGGGAGAACTGGGATGCTGGAGGGCGGAGATTGCTGTGGGATTGTAACTTTCCAAAGCTCATTGAAGTTGCCAGATGAGAACTGTTTCAGACAACTTCAGATAACTTGCCTTACCTGGTGAGGCAAATCCAAATTACAGACATCATAAATGTACTATGGGCCACACAAGGCTATTTTGAGAGTACCCTGGCAAGCAGAAACCTTCCTTGCCGTGCCCAACTCACAGTGTGGTGCTTACATTCCCAACAGATTCTTTGCCCTTTTGGAGAGTAGGGCTGTTGAGCTGCAACTTGCCCCTCAACCTGTGTTCCCCAAAACTTCTGCATAAATTACACAGGATGGTCTGCAAAGCCAAGCATGCTGAACATAAATATTTATAACCTATGTGATCATTTGAACTCCTTCAAAATGACTGCATAAACATCTCGGGGTTAGTAACGTGTACGTGTTAAGCGGCAAGGAAGAACAAAGCCTACAATCAGTCTTATGTTAAAAAGTGGCATTTTGTTTCATCCCAATAACATTACTTCAGGTCTTAGAAATGTACTCTTTTACAAACTTCAATATTATGTATTTTCTCCAGAGAGATGTCGCTATTAAATACTATCAGCTAACATGTGCCAACAGATTCTGGCTAAGTACTTCACCATTTTTTCTGAATGAGCTGGGTAAATAGCTTTTCTGATTTATAGTAAAGTGAAGGGCATGGTTGGGAGTTTTGTACTTGAATTCTTCTCAAAGAAATCAGTTCTTTGTGGTTTCAAAGTGTGACATTTTAAGTTCACTGCCAAAAACACAGTAGTCCCCGAGTTGAATCATCTGTGCAGTAACAGTGCACATGCTCCTTGAGAAGAACTGCAGGACATACCGTCATATCATAGGGAATATCCTCTGTTGTCAGGAACAGCTCGATTGACTACAAGAGATCAAATCCTAGAGAAGTTGAGAACTTGGTGCTTGGTTTTGATCTTTTCTTTTTTTCCTTTGTTTTTTTTTTTTTTTTTGTTTCCCTATCTCTGGCAGGGAAGCAAGTGGGATGGGAAGAGGGGAGGAAGAATCCGGGCAGGTTTCAAGGGGGATTTCCCTAAATCCCAGCCTTCTCCTTGAATTTTCTGCAGGAAAATCTTAATGATCTCTCAGCATTTATTTGTTTTTTTTAAACTGGAAACGCAGGCAATGGGTTGCGCTCAGCGTTTCCACCTTCCCAGTTCAAACTGGGATCAGGTCTCCCATCGCGTCCCTCCGCCTTCCCTCTGGGAGACCAGGATTTTTTTTACGGGCGTCCCATTCCCGCTCCGTCGATGTCAGCGCCTGCTCGGGCCGAGGCCACGCTCTCCCCCTTTTCCTCCTTTTCCCATCTTACCAGCAGGACAGTGGCTGG